GGGGCTGGAGGTGGAGGGGGCGGGGCGGGCGAGTCTCTCCACCTGTTGGGCCAGCGAGGCTGAGCTCTCGTCCACTCGTCTGCTCAGATTGCCCACTCGGTGCTCCAAAACACGCTCCATCTGAATCCTCTCGGAATCCATTCGCGCCAAAATCTGGAGTTTGGCCTCGTCCAGCAGGAAGGCGTAGCGTTCAGCCTGTAGTTATTAAAAGACATTTTCTGAGCATCATCATATTCAAATTAAAGACCTGAATTTACATAATATTTCCTATAATGTATGTTGTGGTTGTGTTCAGAGGTGGTAGAATCAGGCGAACGCCATGGTCTGAGCATGTTATGGAATTATTGGCGTCTTCTTGTGTATTTATCTTGCTGATCTATTTTTTTAAATTAATTCGTGTTATTGTTAAAAACTAATTAATTAACCAAGTAGATTATTGATTGATTGATTGATTAAATCCATTTATGTATTTATGTCATTGTTTATTAGTTTTTTAAAGAAAAAGTACGATATAAGACCGCAAAAACATAAGCTGGTATATACAAAAATTAAATTATATATTACTTTCTTTAAAATTCAGTATGAAAAGAAAAGTAAAGCTGACAAAATGTAGTCTACATATCACATTAGATACATCATTCAACTACAAGTACGAATTACCCATCTGGTTTGAACAGAAAACGAAATATTTGCCTTTGAAGGAGGTGGGGATCACCTTGTATCAGAGGAAAAAGTATCGAGTAAAAAGGCCATCAAGGTCTGATAGCTTCTAAGGCTTGGGAGCCCATGGAGACTGCAAAAGTACATTTCTCGTGCCTTTGATCAGAGTTTTTCAGTAAAAATCCACACATCTCCAAGAAATGGTATTTGTTGAGCTCCTGAGTTTGTAGTCATGTCCTTCTGGAACACGCCCACCTCGCTCGCTGAACAGAGCACACACACACACGCACACACACACACAAACACACACACACAAACACACACACACACACACACACAAACATACACACACATACATACATACACACACACATACATACATACACACACACACACACATACATACATACATACATACACACACACACAAACATACACACACATACATACATACACACACACAAACATACACACACACATACATACATATACACACAAACATGCACACACACACAAACATGCACACACACATACACACATACATACACACACATACATACACACACACATACACACATACATACACACACATACACACATACATACACATATATTCACATACATACATACACACACACACAAACACACACAAACACACACACACACACATACACACACAAACACACACACACACATACACACACATACATACACACATACATACATACATACACACAT